GGCACTTAGTAGGGATATAGTAATATTAACTGAACATAAATCTGAATTGCTGCTCCTAAATTGTTCCCTGCCTTTGGGAAATGAATACCTGTGATTGGAATTGGCGTTACCGATACTTAGGTCAATTTGGATGGTATTCTGGCCTGGTAGGCCAAACGTTGAAAGTTTAAGGGTGTGACCTGACACCTGATAGAGAACTGTTTCTTTTAAACTTAGACTTGTACAATGCCAAAAAGAAAACACAAAAACAAGAACATTGGATTTGACTATGATCTTTTGTGTCCAAGAGGGAAAAAAAAAAAAAAAAAAAAGGCCAGTGAGTTGCTGGGGAAAACAACAAACTCAGTTAGTTGGTTCTATCAGAGCAGCAAATGGACTGTGTTTCTCTAAGCTTTGTACAGCCTGGGAGCCTCCCTTCTTGGGCCACCCTGAGTCTGCTACATAAGGATAAGGACTGTCTCAGTCTCCTATTCCTGCTTCACAAATTACCACAAACTTAGTTGCTTACAGCAAAATATATTTATTCTAAGAACTCCAAAATCAGTCTCACTGGGCTACAGTCAAGTGGTCTACAGGGCTGGTTCCTTCTGGAAGCTCTGAGGAGAGAACTGGTTTTCTTGTTTTCTTTAAGCTACTGATGGCTACTTGTATTTCTTCGCTTCAAGACACTTTTTCCATCTTCAACACAGCACCCAATCTCTTCAGCCTTCATCACACAGCCTCCTGCTCTGATAGGACCCTTATGATTACATCAGGCCCACCCAGATAATCCAGGATAATCTCCCACACCTCAAGATGCTTAACTTAATCACACCTGCAAGATCCCTTTTGCCCTATCAGGTAGCATATTCCCAGGTTCTGGGGATTAGCACGTGGATATCTCGGAGGACCATTGTCCAGCCTACCACAATGATTTAGTCACAAATCTAATTGATAGAGTATTGAGAATTCAACAAAACAATGCAAACTTAGGAACAAAACCAAATCTTGGACTAACAAATGTGCTTTTAAGTGTAAACAGGGCATGTTGTTTTGAGTCTTTCAGCCAGCTGTTTCTCAACCTATTTTCCTTCCACAGGACAAGGTAGCACACTTGAACTTCTCATCAATAAAGATTGCTCACTCCCTATCATCTCAGTATTCCATGGCTGAGAACCACTGTGTTTAGCCCTTGAGAAGTCCACAGGGATGAATAATTTCCTAACTTTTGCTGTAAGGATCCTCTCCTGGACCCCTCTGTGATCCCCTGGTGACCAAGTACGTAAATTTATTTCTGATTGTGTTTAACAAACTCGGAGGGAATTTACTCACCCTTTATCAGCATAAAAATGTCCTCACATCATGCTTTCTCCTGACTGACTTCATTTTCTGCCTCAAGCTCAGCCAATGCAAAACAAAATCAGCTCCTGGGTTTTTACATCCTGTGCCTTGTACTCATCAGGCCTATCGCTTCCAGTGGGTGGGTGAAAATTGGGAGCTAGGGGAGAGTGGGCTGGGTTGAGCCTGATTCATTCCTCCTGGTTTAGTTGGCTCCTGACATCATCAAAGACCAGTGTTCTATTATGTTTCCTGTATTAGATAGTGGCAGAGTTGCCAGCTGGGAACAGCTTGCCCTCTGCCCCTGCAATAAAGCCAAGCAAAGTCTGACTTGCCAATCTTGTGCCCCATCAGAATATCCATGGGGAGAGATTTTTCTCTACTTAATTAGAATCTGTCGTAGTGGGCCCACCAGGCCCTGGGAGCCCAAAGATGCTCCTACACAGCAGTTTTCCTTCTTTCTCTCTTCTTTTGGTTTGGCACTGCCTTGTCAACAGGTGTGATCAAGAGTAAGGAGACATGCAGTGCCAGTGCTCCCGTTCTGGTCCAGGATGAGAACCCACGACTGAAAAGATGGCACTCACAGCATTAGGCAGGCTGCCACGAAATCATCCTTCCTTGGCACTGGTGCCCATGGTGAGCATCTAGGCAACTTTTGATTGGGCACCATGCCCTCCAAACAGATGGGCATGAATGTAGGCAGGCAAGAGACCATTTATTTATATCAACTGTATTTGCTGAGGGCAAGGTTCCCAGCTGGGAACATCAAAACAGCTCTTTGTCCTGGCCGTCTGCAGCTCTGATGGAGGTGAGGCAGCCTTGCAAATTCAGCTGGATTAATCTTGAAAAATAAGAACAATGTTTCTATGGACACCAGGGGACATTTTTGGCTCCCTTCAATGGTTCAGAGTACAGAGCAGGCTGGTCCCAAGTCATTTTAATAAAATCTCCCGTCCCTGTTGGGATTTGGTGGGAGAGAGCCAAAAAAGCTTTCCAAATAAGGCCAAGTTTAGGTGAACAGAGTTAGCCTCACACGGAAGCCGGCTTTGTAAGTCTTTTTACACACAATGGTGTGGCTTCCAGAGAAAATTAAGCTTAAGTCACCAAGGCTCAGGTGCTAGGAAAGACATTCTGGTTGATCTCACCACTGCACCATTTTTCTAAGCATCCATTGACCTTCCTGTTGTCCCTCTTGTAAATGATGGATGGGATCAAGTGTAAGCTTAAAGTGCAAGGGTAGACCTTAGGGCCAACTTCCATAAGAGCTTCAGTTGGCTTTAAGGGTAAATAGATAAATTTTAAAAGAATTATTACCTATATTTAGACAATACAGAGCAATTGAGCAATTGTAGAGGTCTCTGAAGAATACAGCCTTATTATTAATATTAGTATTAACTACTAAAACATACCGCTTGCTTGACAATGCATCTGGCATGGTCTTAAGCACTTTGCAGGCGATATTTCGATTCATTTTCACAATAATCCTATGGAGGTGGGTACTATCATTAGTATCATTACAGATGAGCAAACTGAAGTTTAGAGAGACTGACCCGAAGTCACACAGCTAGTAACTGGGATAACCAGGGTACAAACCCAGGACTGCCTGACAACAGAGCCCACGGCTACCCCCCTTCCTCTAGAAACACTGAAAGCTGCCATTCTGTTTAGTAATTGGCTTGCTAACTTGGGGATGTTTCTTATAACAGGTTTAGGCCAATGTTTCTCAAACTTTAATGTGTCTGCAGGTCACTGGGGAGATTCTGCTAATATGCAGATTACGATTCAGCAGACTGTGTTCAGTAGAACTGACCTGATTCAGTAATTTCTGCAATTCTAATAAGCCCATGAAGGTGGCACCCAGCTGCATCGAGAGCGGCGAAGTTTCAGGGTAGAGCACTAAGTCACATAAAAATGACCAAGGAAGCTTTTAAAAATACCAATGCCCACGTCGTACCCCCAGAGATTCTGATTTAATTGCTTAACAACCACTGGGTTAGCGATTCTCTTACTCACCAGCTTTTGTCATTTATTTGAGACAGGAATGCTGAATTCTAAAAGATGCCCTTATTGCATTCCTTGCAGATGGAAAATAAGACAATGGATGAAGATGCGTTGTTGGAGGGCGCTCCCAGTTCCTAGTCAGTTTCTTCTCGTGATGCTGATTATATATAACAATCCCAGAGGCAACTGATGGGATGGACCTGTTACTCACAATGGTCTTGAACGTGAACAGCTGGGAGCGAGAGCAGGCTGAGATCAGCAGCACCGCTGCGATCGTTTAAGAGCAAAGTGTGACAAAATGTATGTTGATGGAGGTGACAAAAAATTATAATCAGAAACATCATCTTTCTATGGCATAGGTTTTGTTGATTGTTATTTTTTGGTTGAGAGGATCTGAATAGGGAAACCCGGAGCCATTCAAAACTCTACTGTGTCAAACCTTTCATTAATTACACATAACAAGCAATAGTATGGATCAGGTGCTCAAGGATTCCATTTATTAGAGAGGAGCAATTGATTCCATGTTGGCGGATATGTGGCCATGGCTCTTTCTGGGGTTTCCTGCTAAGTGTGATCAAACCAAAAGGACTATAGATTATTAAATCCAAATCAATATTTTTGCTGCAAAAGCAAAGCATTCGATGAGAGGGGAAAATAAAGTATCCTCTTTTCAGAAGATTTCAGCCTCATGTATTATCGATGCAAAGATGATCAGATAAAAACTAGATTTTGGGGTTTCCCCGGTGGCGCAGTGGTTGAGAGTCCGCCTGCCGATGCAGGGGACACGGGTTCGTGCCCTGGTCCGGGAAGATCCCACATGCAGCTGGGATCATGGGCTGGGCCCGTGAGCCATGGCCGCTGAGCCTGCGCGTCCAGAGCCTGTGCTCCGCAACGGGAGAGGCCACAACAGTGAGAGGCCCGTGTACCGCAAAAAAAAAACTAGATTTTGGCAAGCTGTCAAATAAAAACTGCAGAGCGAATCAAAAATTTGTAAAATAGTATTGAGTTATTACAATTCTATTATAGATACCAGTAATCACTTTTACTGAAACAAACCTCTTATATGACTGTATAGCTGGGATGTTACGGTACGAGGATTTAGGACTCGACCTCATTTGGGGGAGGGGTAAAATACCACAAAATTAAAAATAAAATGTGAAGAGTAAACGATTTAGTCACAGTTCAGTAGCAGATTGAATAAAAACAATAGGGTTTTAAAAAAGAATGGCAGTGTTTTCCTTCCTGGGCTACATTCTGCTGACTTCCTTGGAAACTTACTGGCATTAGATTCAGAGCAGGATGAATTGCTTTATAGAATCTGTAAACTTAATGTGTGCATGTGCCACACATGCACAACGCAAGACATTGGAGAGGAAAAATGACTTGGTGAGATATTTTGTCACTTACGGATTTTCTTTTATAGAAAGAAGTCCCAGTTCTATACTTTTATTAGCTGTCTCGTTTTATGTAGGAGCCTTCTCCCTCCCTTTTTGGGACTAAAGCTCTGACAAAGCCAGAAATATATTCAAGAATGGAGAGATGGCTGTCACCATTCCTAAATATTCAGAAGATAATCGCCAACCAAAGTTAGAGCATCTTGACATAAAACATCCCTTCAGCTCCCAAGCCGATTTGCCTATCCAGGATCAAATAAATAGCTGTAGTTATAAAATCATACATACTGATACGTAGTCAGCATCAGGAAAATGACACCAAGAACGTGTGACAGGGATGGCTGCTTTCTCTCCTTGGCTTTTCCTCCATACCTGGGCAGAGAACAAAGACAGTTTCTTGGAACTAAAAATGACTCTGAAGGAAGGTTAAGTGTAGAATGCAACCAGAAGCATCAGCCCTGGGTTTTCCCACTTTAGGGCTAAAAATGAAAGGTGACATTATTATAAGGATTTAAATATGAAACAACTTTGTCTTTAAGAAACAGAACTGACTCCATGTAAATGGACTTTGATCAAGAGGCTGAAAGGGGGAAATGTTTTACTTAATCAGACCCAGAGCCAAACTACCCCATGCCATGAGCCATTTCAGTTCTACTTGGGGATGGGAGAGTATGGTCAAATTTAATTCGACTTTGATAGGCGAAACTTTCATGTGAATTACATATTTGCCAATTTGCCTTAATATTAGACACTTAACACCTCACCTAAAGTGCTGATGCCAGGAAAGCCTGCAGGATTCATCATTCCCTATGCCTGAAAGAGCACAAAAAACTCAGATTCTCTGCCATGACCTATGAATTATGTTGAATCATTATTTTTGACTTGATGGTTCATTCATGTCACTGTGGCTGTTTTCAAGAATGTAGGAAAAATGCAGATGCCAGGGGAATTTTCATTTCTTACCTAGAGCCAACTTTAAAAAGTTCCCATGACACTTGAATTTGTCTAGGGTAACTGGTTATACGCTCTGTGGCGTTCATCTTCCCAAGACTAGGGCTTGATTATGCAGTGGTGGTCCTCGCAGTCACTAGACTAGGGAACTCAGCATAAACTAGATTAGGGTTGGAGACACCTCGAGAGAGAACAAATGTGTTGTTTGAAATGGGCCTGTTACATGTTGCGTGTTACGTGCCCTGCCTCATCACGGTCCAGTCAGGAAAACAGAAACGACACTCATGATTTCACACAGAAGGGATCTAGTACACGGAGTTGGTTACACAGGTGCAGATGAGGGCACAGGCCCTTTTGGCCAAAGTACAAATAAAAATCTCTAGAGTGAAATGCTTTCAAACTGCACACAGGGGTTTGGTCGGCTTAACCAAATGCCCTGGTTCAAATTGCATTTCAGCCATTTGGATCGCCTGACTTGCTTCTTTTGGGAGGTATAAAATCTCTCCTCATTTCCTATCGTCAATTGCAACATGGAGTGGCTGAAAACTGTTCAGGCAATTACTGTGCTTCACCAACTGGGTGCCTTTGGCTTGGCCATAACGGGCATTTGGGGTTTGCAATAGCTCTGCTGTCATTTCCCTTCTTCTGGCTGATCCTGATACAAAGTGCTGACGGCTCTGAGAGCATGTCCTCTTGCTCACTGGAAGGGAAGTCACACTCCTGAAAAAATGCTGTTTGCTTTTAGATGTGCCATGATGATGGGAGTGGAAGGGTGGTGGACAGGAGGATAAGGACAGAGGAGATGGCTCACCCCCAATGTTAATCAAGCCACCATTGATGAGTCCTGTTGACTCTGCCTAATTATCTCTCAAATCCATCCCTTTTCTCTATTCCCAAGAATATTCCCACTATGTTCCTTCAGGCCATTTCATTCCTCAGCTTAAATATCACAATGACCTTCTAACTGGTTCCTCTGCCTTTGATCCAAACTTCTTCCTATTAATTCTCATGGCAGTGGTTCTCAGCCGGGGGTGTACTGCCCTCAGCAGCAGCAGGCATTTGGAAATGTGGGAGTGTTTGGGGGTTGTCGTGATAATGGGGGTGGAGGGGATATGCTGGCATTAAGGGGGCAGGAGCCAAGGACACTGAAATACCTAATGTATTCATCTCCTATTGCTCTAGTAACGAAATACCACAAACTTAGCAGCTTAAAAAAATACCCATTTATTACCTCACAGCTCTGTAGATCAGAAGTCTGACAAAGGTCTAAAGGGCTAACGTCAAAGGATCAGTAGGGCCCTGGAGGCCAGGTGGGAGAATCCCTGTCCAAGCACAGTCATGCTGTTGGCAGAATTCAGTTTCATGGGACTGTAGGACTGAGGCTCCAGTTCCCTGGCTGGCTCTCAGCAGGGATTATTCTCAGCTTCTAGGGTCTCCCACATTACTTGGCTCATGACCCCTTCATCTTCAAAGCAGGTAATGATAGGTTGAATTCTTCTTATGCCTTGTGTTTCCTGCCTCCTCTTCTGCCACGTCTTTCTCTGACTTCTGCTTTGCTCTTCCATTTTTAAGGGCCCGTGTGATTAAATCAAGTCTACCCAATCTAAGTAAATCAGGATAACCTCCCCATTTTAAGGTCCTGTCTTGCAAAGTTCCTTTTGCCATGTAACATAACAGAGTCACAGTTTCCAAGAATTTGAACATGGACATCTTTAAGGAGCCATTAATCTGCCAACCACACCTGGAATGATCTGCACAACAGAGAACTGTTCCACCCCAAATGCCAATAGCAGCCTCACTGAGAAATATCTATCTAGAATGCAAATCTGACTGTGTCTCTTTCCTGCCTTAGAATCCTTCAGGGAACCTTCACTGACTTCAAGATGAAATCCAAGGCAGAGTCCAGGAAGGGCTTTATGATCCACTGTCTCTTTAAGCCTCTAGCTCACAAGTTACTATCCTGCCTCTCCTCTTGGCTTCAGCCACACTGAATGATTTTCTGACCATCCGGTGTGTTCTCTTACCTCTCATTCCTTATGAAGTCTCTTTCCTCCACCTGGAACACTCTTTCCCCAAATTCTCACCTACCTTCCTTAACCTAACTTACTCCAACTCAGTTTTCAGGTCTTTCCTGATCTTACTTCCTCATGAAAGCCTGCCATGACCCTTCAAGTCTGAGTTAGGACTCTTCCCACATGCTCCCAGAGCACCTGCATGCCCACCCATACGATTCATCACACTGCTTTGTAATTTCTTGCCTGTTTGTTGGGTCTCCCCTAAGCTCTAAGCTCTAAGAAGACAAGGACAGCATCTGTCTTGTTGCTGTGGTATCCATAGCACTCAGCTCACACCTGTCATGCACTTACAGTTTTATTAAATAAATTACGTGGTCACGTTGACTTTGATATAAAGGGCAGAGTAAATTTGGTTCCGACTCTTCCACAAGAGACATAATCATAACAATAGCCATGTACCAATCTTTGACAGTCAGATAGCATTTTATTAGAACTTTATATCTGCATGAAGTTGGAACTATTATTACTAAATCAGTATTACAGAGGAGGAAACTTTAAGTCAAACAGAATAAATAACTAATCACAGAAGCAGGTGGCCCAGAGTGGGCAAAGCTAGGAACCAAGTCTAGTTTCTGATTCTCAAGCCAACCATGGTACTTTTCTGAACCAACAACTAGTGTCTTATGGTTTATAAAGCATTATGTCACAGAGTCCTTATAACCTCACTATAAGATAAAAATGTTGATCCCTTTCTCAAACATGAGGAAAGAGACTCATCAATGTTAAGTGACCAAGGTCACACAGTATATGTGGAAAATTCAGAACTAGAAGCCAGATATTCCATTCCTTTTGCTTTAACCATATCACCTATTAACTAGGAAGATGGCAGAACTTGGAGAGTAGAGAAGGCTATCTTGGCACTTTATTCTCAATTTCTTCAAGTCATCATCTCACACCTCCCTGCCCACATGCAAGGAACTTAAACCAGTGAAAAATCTATTTAGACAAATAGGGAACTCCTCTATTCATGAATCATATATATATATATACATATTATATATATATATAATATATATATATAATGTATGTGATGAAAAGAAAGAGAATTATGTGAATTTAACATCTAAAAAGATGATAAGTGATTAATAATGGCAATTACCTTAAGAATAAATAGATTACCTTAGTGATCACAACACCTACGTGAAATAAAATCTAACCTTGAGGTGGAAACATCTGCCACCATAATGTATCACTCAGCACTCTTTTGGTTCCTTTGTACCCAACCTCCAAGATAGCCTCCAATAGTCTTCATCTCTTGGTATCCACATCCTTGTATATTCCCCTCCCACAATGAATCATGGCTGACCCATATCAACAATAGAATACTAAAGAAGTGACAGTGTGTAACTTTCAAGGCTAAGTCATAACAGACATTTGCATCTTCCACCTTGATCTCCTGGATTCCTTGTTTTAGGAGAAGCCATTCACCATGTCATAAGAGCACAAGCAGCTCGGTGGAGAGGTCTGTAGGAAGAGGACGTGAAATCTCCTACCAACAGCCAGTATCAATGTACCACCATGTGACTAAGTCACTTTGGAAAAGATCTTCCAGTCCCAGTCAAGCCTTCAGGTGACTGCAGCTCCAACCAACACTGAATGAACCAACCAACCCCAAGTCAAGACCACCCAGACAAGCAGCTCCTGAATCTCTGACCCACAGAAACTGTGAGAGATAATAAATGCATATTGTTGTCTTAAGCTACTATGTTTTATAGTAATTTATTAGACAGCAATAGACAGAAATACAGGTTGCAAGTGACAGAACTCCAATTTGAACTAGCTTTAAACAGAGTGGGACCTTTTAACCTATGTAACTATAGGAAGGTCTGGGGGTACATGGCTTCTGGAAAATGGAATGAGGAACCCAAAAGGAATCAGATCCTTTTCTTTTATCTCTCATCTCTGTTTCTCTCTGCGCATGTTTTATTCTTAAGGCAGAAAACACAGCCACCAAAATAATCAGGTGTTACATCTCACTTTCTCCCATCCCAAGGTCTGAAAGCCTGGAAAGTGCTCCAATTGTCCTAACACAGATCGCATGCCCATCCTAGACCAATCAGTGTAGGCCAAGCTGGTGGGATCCATGAGAATATGTCCAAACCACATGATTAGGGTGAGGAAAACATTTCTTAGAAGTGGAGCGGGGCAGGCAGAGTTTCCTTGGAAGTAGAACAGTAGGCCCACTGCCCACTGTGTGTTTGATTAGGAGCATGAGGGTGCATACATGCATGCTCAGGGTTGCTCTGTGCTAATCCCCTGGTGACACTTGACATTACTACTTTCACGTATCATTTCATCACCTGGCCCTAAGGACAAGCTTCTGACCAGCAAGAAGATCTTATCAGC